CTCCTCCTCGACCTCCTCCTCTTCCTTATGCTTATTCACCATAACCAGCATCATGACTATCACCACCAAAGATAGCACATAGTTGTCAACATTTTCACCATCGTCAGCATTATTGTGATCGTCGGGAAACATGGGGCTCGGCGTTTTGTGCTTGATCCTGTCGTGTCTGAAAGCATTGTTCCCTTCAGAATCGCGGCAGAAGTTCTTCACAATGATACAATGATATCTAGGTCAAGTAAGAATGTGCTACGACGTGTCTCCAGACGCATTTCAGGCATTCGGAAACGCTCTTCAAAATTGTCTGGTGGGACAGTTCTACATATATATATATATATGTATCATGTTCGGAGCACAGAACTGACTTTCAAACACCTGACAGACGTACCCAAAACGACATATGCTTCAGCATTGTTAAGATCGAGGAGTCCCACTTCAAGAACCTGGGCGCCAGTCCACCGAGCTTGCGCCAGCTCTGCTAGCGGCAACGGAAGTCTTCAGCGTGAGGTCCCGTTTCACCCTCCTGAAAGCCTTGCTTTTAACAGGGTTGACCCGCAGCAGGACCGTGCGAGGCTCTGTGTGGAGTGGAGCCGCCGCAGATTTTCCATTCTAATAAACGCTGCGATGCGATTGTCAAGCTGGAGGTGAAGCGGATTCAAGATTTGGTGCGTGCTTTGTCTTGTTCGCCTCATGCCCCCCAGGTATGTCGATCAGCGCAATCTGCCTCTCAAGGAGCAGCCCAGACGTCGTGCCAGGGCGCATTGTGTGGTGGAAGGTGGGTTAAACATGAGCAATATTGGTGTAGCAGGCAGAAATCACTCGCATGATGCCAGCTGCACAGTGTCAGCTCCTCATGGCCATCTCCAATCAACTGTGTCATGTTGAAAAAGGAGATGTTCTGCGACATCTTCGATCCTGAAACCAATAGCTGGACCTCGCTCCCTGCTGCCGCCTACACGAACCTCGGCGTAGGCCAGGGCGTCGTGGCATGCAAGAAGTCATGCATGATACGCAAACATTTGTCTCTGCCTTCAGTATGTGATGACTTATCTTGTCCCATCGAGGATGGGAAGGGCATACTTCCGCCAAAGTTCTGCCTTGCTCTGTGAAAGATCAGATTTGTCCGGTGAAAGTTGTTACGACTTACCCGGCATTTGCAGACTCCGTACCGATTTGACGCTTTGGGTTTCCCGAGTTCGGCACACATTCATGAGGATCGCGTGTCTCTTGGCCAAAACTCTTGATTCGTTCTTAGGGAGGGGAGTGTCACGGATGATGGTATTGCGATACTGATGGTAGGTGTGCCGTTACATATGCATACTTGTGCACGGACAAATAAGCACGAGCACACACACAGACATCTGTACATATTTATATGCATGTTCTTGTATTCGCATGAAAAGCATGTACGAGTATACCTTATGCATACATATGCGTATACATATACGCACACACACACACATATATATATATATATATATGCATACGTGCAAGCAAGCAAGCAAGCAAGCAGGCAGACAGACAGGCAGGCAGGCAGGCAGGCAGGCCTCCATGTGCACACGCCGTCTCTTTCTCTCTCTCTCTCACTCTCTCTCACTCTCTATCACTCTCTCTCTCTTTCGTATGCACATATTGGTTGTTTGTGCATATGCATAGGCATATTATGTATATGTATTCGCATACGTATGTGTACATGTATGAAGATCGGGCGCAAGTGGATTCATGTTTACACGTAGTGCAGACCTGAGGCATTTTCCAGCGGGCCGCATTTTTCGGCGCGGCTGCAGCAGGGGCCTTACAGCAAGGACAACTTGTTCGACCGAGATTTGTGGCTGAATCAAACGCAAAAAGCTTGCTAGACCACTTGTCGCATAATTTGTGCTCGAACCTTCGAGTCTCTTCAGGTCGAAGGTCGTGTTGTGGCATTGGTTGGCGGTGTCACCATTGACGCTTGCCCTGCACGCAGTCTGCTTAAGCTATTGCACGATCAAGGGATGTCGCGCGTTCAATGAACACCTTGAAGCGACCTCGGGCAGTTTGAAGCTGCTGGAGATGTAGAATTGCAACCCAGACATGGCCTATGCCTGCACGTTCAGATGCCGCTTGAACGCTACAGTTAAACAGTAGCCACTCACTGTCGTTGGAGCCAAAAGTCGGCCAAGGCTTACAACCCCAGAGTTCCCGAAGATGGTTGGAGAGCTGTGGAAGCACCAAACAGCCATGTCAAGGCAAGTTTGCTGAGTCAGGATAGAACAGCTGAGGGCTTGGGTTTTGGAGCACAGGGACCGCTTCGGAATTCAGGCTGGCAGACCATCTTCCGAACGTTTGTTTGACGGATCTGCAAACCCTTGAGAGAGTGTTCTTGAAAGACTTGCAGCACAGCTTTTCCCGAACCTGGAAGTATCGTGACACAGTAGCTAGCGGAGGCGATGGTGTTCCGAGCGCAAGCGTTCAACAATTACCCGACGTTGTGGGATACAAGATTGCATGGACATGAGCAAGCAGGTTGCTCAGGCTTCACCTCGTGCATGCGGATACCAGTCAGGCAGGCCCAGGCCGTCCCAGCATTCACAGCTCACGAACCGTGGACAAGAAAACCGGAGACCTGGTCCAAGCCTGGAACCCGGCTGAAAGCGAGCGGACGTTACGGCCGACTCCTGCGTTGACACCGGGGGCAATCCATCCAAATCTTTTAAGATTTGCAAAGAGGGAGGCGCTTCGATGCTCTTGGGTCCAATTCCGTTGTGCAGGTCGGGGCCTCTTCATGTGCGTGCGCCTTCCGTGGGGAACTGCGCCTTGGTCCATCATAGCAAGCGAGAACTGCAAGGAGCATTCGCAGTTGCACGATCAGCTCTCCGTTCACCCGCACTCCCGTTCATTCCTCACTCGCTTCGTGTGTACAATCGAAGACTTGCAGTTCCAATCCAAAGTCCTTAATTCTTTACAACATGTTCTTGGTCTCTGCGTTTCGACTATGGGTGAAAACTTTGGCCAGTCACACTCGACCCTTAAGTGGCTCTATGACGATGTGTGACTGCTCTTCGCCCGGAAATATGTAGATCAAACGAGCCTTGGACACGGACACCGTGCGTGCGAGCACGAGATGCAGCAGCCCAGGATAGTTGCTTCAGGCCGCCCGCGCTGCTTTTCGAAGTGTGCCGCTGGCCTGGAAAAAGTCTAGCCTCATGCAGTACGGTCAGAGAGGCACGTGCTAGAGTTCGGTGTACGTCCTTCCTGGGTGTCCGGGTGTGTTCATGACAGGGATAGGATGGGTAAACAGCTCAACCCTCAGCCCTAGCCTGCAACTGTGGGAAGCTCCGAAATGCGTCTTAGTCTAACTCCATGAGGTTGCCGGCTTCCGATTTTCTGCAGATGCCTCGCAGCCTCTTTGGTGGCCTCGGCAAATTAGTCTTGAATACCAGGGCACAGGCCGATGCTGTGTTTCCGAAGGGGTTTCCGGACAGGAGCTGCAGTCATGTAAGCTAAGCTGTGTGCGAGCTTTCCCCCTAGCTGGTGGGGCCTGGCTGTCTGTAGGCAAAAGCTGCCAATGTCTCGGGGACCTCAGGTGGCACGGCACATGGCGTCAGCTGCCGGCCGGGCTGGGGAGGATGAAGGTGTTTTTTCTGCTCTCAGGTGACGGTGTGAGGTGTCTGCAGCTGCCGCCTCTTCCTGCACGCATGTTCCAAATGCATGATTCGTGAGTGAACGATCGTCTCCTGCCCCAGAAGCTGCAGAGCGCACGCGTTGGTGGGGCGCTCGTAGCAGCTCGGTTCGATGCAAGGTAGAGTTGCAGAATCCAAGCTAGGGTCTCGCCAGTCCGCAGCCTTGGCTGAGGAGGTCTACGATCGCTTGTACATCACAGGAGGCACAGGGCAGCAGGGCAATCGTGGGGAGAAAGGGAAGGCGCAGAAACGACTGTGAGGCGTTGACGAGGAAACTGGCGAGTTCTTCGACACGGCAGAGCGCCTCGGGGAGGAGTCCTGGGACTGTGCCTGGCTCAGGAGACACAGCGTTCGATACTCGTAGGAAGTGTGCAGGTTACACCTGCAGTCTCAGACAGCACGGGAATGTTCATTAAGTACTTCACTCAGAGTTCTTCTTCCAGCCCTCCTCCGTGGTTTTGTGCTTTGCTAAGGCGTGTCCTGGTTCCAGATGCCGCGCGCGCAGCTTGGATTTCGGTTCGAGGGATCCAGGACCTGGCCTTCAGCTTCGGAGTGAAGCGAGCTCGAAGGCGCTGAAATACTATAAAAAATGATGACTAGATTAGATTAGATTGTGTTCTACTGTGCTATGCTGTATTATGTTACATTCTACTAGACTATATTATACTTATAACATATTCCATACTTTGGGTGCAGTGTTTGAAAACATGTTCACTCATCCCAGGTTGCACGCGCACGAGGCACATGCCTTGCCGTACCTCCCTGCCGCTCCAGCAGCTCAGCCACTCACAGCGAAGTGAGGACGAAGCGAGGCTTTCAGCCTTGTAGCGTCGATATCTGCACAAAGTGGCAGAGCGCCGTGCGCAAAATGCCTTGGCCCTGGGCATTTCGGCATCATCTCGAGCGGTCGATGCGTGCCCAACCACCCATGCCGTGGAGTCGCCGCAGCCGCGTCAAGATCATCAAAGTTGTCCTCACAAGCGGACGAGTATGGGTAGAGAGTTTAAGCTGAAGTACGTCCGGAGGTTGCGAATCCATGTGTGTCATCTCTGAACGGATGAAGTCTTTGCACATGTCAGCCGTTTCTGAAGCCCGCCATGCAAGCCGTGGACGAGCTCCTGACCATCGTCATGGTTGCTCGCTGTTTCGGAACACTGTAAAGTCTGTTCTCAATCCTGCATGGCCATCCTGCAGCAACTGCATTGCGGTTCATTGAGGTTACGTCGCCGGTGCCTTCCAACCCATCGACTGAGATGCTCGAGCATGTGCTGTCCTCCTGCACGACGGCAGGCGGCTTCTTGGCAGCACGTCGCGAACTGAACATCCTCTGCATTGGCACACGACATACAACTATAGGGCAGGTTAGGGTGCGGTTCTAGCAGAACCTGCTGAAGCAGAATCGTGGCTTGAGGCGGAGCCTGCACTCAGCCAAGGTTTCAACACGTGCCCGACGATTGTGGTTTCGGACGGCTACAGGGTTGCATCTGCCGGGCAACGCCCAAAACCCAAAGCCTCTCGTCCCAAAGGTGAGGCGTTGCCATCACTTCTGGAAGCAATGGCATAGTTTCACGCAGCGCAAGCCGTCAGATGCAGTCTGTAAGCCGCTGCGGTCTTCTAGATTTTTCAGGCCGGAAGAGTGGCACCGGACTGGGAGGAGCCTTATGAAGAGTTCAGGCTCGGGCCCGCCCGTGCTCGTGCGCTCATGTTCTTTTCAGCACACCAGTTGTCCTCGAGACTGGCGCGCAGCGCATGAATGAACCTCCCAGCATGTACCCAGACCCATCGAGCGCTACATGCTTGGACCTTCACAGATCTGAATCTGTCCAGGAAAAGCCCCCATAACCATCCTGACAAAGAGGGTCCAGCATGGTTTGGTAACTCGTCATCCAATCTTGAACCCGATCTTGGTGCGACCAGTGTTAAAATTGGCTTGGACACACAGTATTATTTGGCTTGCGACATCTGCATCGTTTTCTCAGACATGGTCATGCATGGTACTTGTAGCTTAGTGTTTGTTCCGCTTTGCTTTTCCCGAGCAGGCACAAGCTGGACAACGTGGACTCCACTGCCTCCAGTGCCCTGTCTGGGGTCCAACACATTCGTGTTTTGGAGCACAAGGCACCACTCACAGTCTACACAGTCTGGGATCTTGAGGGCGACTGCCACGTGCGGGCACTTTGTCGTGTTGTTGAGAATCTGCAGGGATTCGCGGGATGCTTGCACATCGCTCTGCGGCAGGCTCTTTGCATTTCCAGCTGTTGTCTGTTAAGATTGTTGTGGGGGTTGGCGTCCGACGTTGGCTGTGCGTTTGTAATGAGGGTCTTTCTGGCCAGCCGAAGAGCTGGACAATGTATTCTGCCGAAGCTTAGAGGTTGAATGTGATCGAAACCAGTTACCAAGACATCACAGTCAAAGGCTATACGACTCTGCCGGGGATTGGCTCGTTGCGGGATCAGTGTGTTTGCATTGGAGCTTTTGCACGTTACTCTTTCGAAAGCAGGTTCGGACGCCTTTCGTGTTGGTGCTGCAACACGATCGTCCGTGCCTTCGTCCTTTCGATGGTGCAGGCGCAGACTTCCATGCTTTCCGAATTTTGCAACGCTTTCCAACGGGTGTCGGCCTGCGGATTGAGGTTCGTTCTGACGCCAGGCCTGCTCGCGGCAATGCTGGGGTGCTCCCAGCTGAAGTACGTGGGCCTGCCCACCAAGGCTTGGGGCAGTAGGAGGGGTACGGGATATGCACATCGATGCAATATGAATATGAGTCACACGCTCGCATATGCATTATGCGTCGTCGTTGCGGTGCTCCATCACTGTTTGGGGATCTATGCTGGCACAATAACTGTCTTTGTCTTCATCAGCTTAACCTCAGTCTTAAGTTTCGATTTTTTCAATACGCACTTTATCTTTTCCTTCGATTCTCAGATCCTCCCTTTGTGGGAGTCACGGCGAGGCGAGTCTGGCGAGGACGGAGCCCGCGCACCTGGCCGTGGCCCGAGTAGCTCATCTTTTGAGGATTTAGCGTTTAAGGTTTAGGGCCTAGGGTTTGATTCAGGGTTTAGGGCTCCAGGGTTTTAGGGTTCTAATCTAGGGTTTAGGGTTTAGGGAACCCTAAACCCTCAACGGAGGATATGCGCTGTATTAAACTGTCTTGCATAATCTTGTCTACCTGCCGTAGGTCTCTGCATGTGCTACAGATTAATCTAGGCTTTTACGATGC